TAAGATTTAATCGTCTATTTATGAAGCTTTAACTAATTTAAGTTTTGCTTAATTCCTTCTCTGAGTTCCCTACAAACATAGAAAGAAGTATTGAAATAAATCAACATTTAAAAAGGAAAAAAAACCCACATTTGGTAAAGAATAAGCTTAACATGTTAGCTCTTAATCCACTTATTCAAATCCTGAAACCGAGTGAGCTGGTGGGCTCCTTTCAGTCTGTAAAGGACACATTTCTGAAAAAAATAAACCGACCCAAAATATGAATAAATAAAACTAATCCACCCGATTTGACACAAAGTCTCCATCTACTGCCGAGAGGCTGATGAGTGACCAGGGTGGCCACAGGGCAGCGCAAAAATATTTCTGTGAAAATTTTAAGCGTAACAACTCCTTTCTGACCCTTACCCCCCAGCGTACTGTAGCTCCCGAATTAGAGAGCTCAGGCTCGGCTGCAGATGTCACTCCCAGTTCATAAAACACTATTTTTTCCTCACTTCTCTAAGCCCTCAGAGGATTTACACCCACTTTATTCCCCCCCTCAGCAGGCAGCCTGGGAGCTAGTCCAGTTCAGTAATTGATGACTAGGACAGCTTTAGAAGATAGCAGCATAATGTACTGGTAGATTTTTCCTTCTTAACAGAGGCAATTAAATCATTTAATTATTTTACAGCAGCTTTATTGTTTCATGGCAGTTTCCAAGCAGCACAAGACAGCCCATGAAGAGCTGCATGTCCCACTGGTAGCTTATCAATCGAGGAGGAAGACAAAGTGCTGCTGACGGGGTCTTTTTGGCAAATCTGACACATGGGACGGATCTGGCCTTCCAAGGCTGATGGATAACCCACCTCAGGGCTCCTCCTCCCCATCCCATGCCACTGCTGAGCTGCTCGGACCAGTTACCGTATGGCTTCCAGGGAGCAGGAGCCTGGCAGCACAGCGTTAGGCACCACCGACCTGCCTGTTTGCCACTGCCCGCAGCGCAGGGGTGAAGCCCACTGATTCACAGCTGCAACCATGTGAGTCTGGAAGCTAAATTAATTCGGTGTAATTCAGAGATCTCTGTTTCTATGAGTTGCAGCCCCAGGACACCCCACCTTCCATCAGACGGGTGACCACCTTTTGTCCCTGCTCACACACTGGCACGGCAGGGAGGACATCCAGGGACCCTGCGACAGCGAGACCCCCCGGCCGTACTGCGAGCCCTCTTGGTTACATGGGTTTACCTTTGAAATACACTTGAGAAGGCTGAGAAACACGCTGAAATATGATGCAGCCAGGAAGTTATTATTGCTAGAGTACAGGAAACATGTTCGGATTCATAAAATGAAACAAAAATAATCATCATGGAGAAATGAGTTTCTGGGAAATAAACCTTTCAGAAAGATAAAAGGTTGAAGGTTTGGGGAAAATAATTACGAGATCGATCTCCCCGGGCATCCTGTAGCTCCAGTGCAGTGAAACTGCTGCTACTTCTCTGACAAACAGGCGCTCATACCGTGCTGTATGCTTTAGTCTAAAACAGGCTAGAGCCAGGGGATTTCCCAGGATGCTTTTCCTGCGTCGTACAACAACCAGGCAACACAGAGCTCCTTTGGTTTCCCTGGGAGCCGGCCTTTCCCAACATGCAGTGTTGGCTTGGTGGGCACGGGGCGAGCAAAAAACGTGGACGCCGGGCATCTCCCGCAGCAGAACTGCGGCTCCCTCCGTGGTCACCCTGCACGCGGAAACACAGCGAGGCCACCAAGCCACGGCAGGGCAGGGCAGGGCAGCCCGCCCCCTGCCCCGCGCGGGGCCG